ATTGAAACTGTTTGGACCGCGTAAAGTTTGGTAAGTTTCAAAACGGACCCCCATAGAAATTAGTTGGTGACCCCTGCTGTATACAATTTGAGAGAGGCTTATCAGGTGATATATGTAGTTGCCACTTCGATAATAGTTTCATTACTGGGAGCCCAAGAGCCCAACTACAATAATTTATAATTATTAAATAATATATATTACCTATRCATACGAGTATAGTATAATATGCTTATAATCAAACGTAGAAGCCCATGTTTTAGTTATACAAAATACGCCGATACGATACAATACGACGAAAGCGAAACACGTGTGACGTGCTTTATGAAAATTAATTGTTATATAAATGTGTTCGAATCTTCCAAAAACTGTTTAATGAGCATAAAGCTCATCATAATTTAGCTTTATTATAACATGCAGTATGAATTACGTCCCATAAGACGTAATAAATAAAATATGCAAAATCCGTCGATCTACAGTAGGTGCCTAATAATATATATATTCGTATTTGTACATCTGTATTTATCAATATAATATAAGGCGTATTTTGGGGATGCAGTGATTCAGTTTTGAGCAAATTGTTTACTAGTTTGAGCGAACTAACCAATGCCTAATTAGCTAGACTATAGTAAGTATTAGTAACTGGGTTGCTCAAAACTGTATCACCAAAACACACCTATTTATAATCTATAATCTATATATTTTTATAATACATAATACATATATCGCACTAATATGCCAAGCACGTTTAGTAAATACATTTATCCTACGCAGAAATAATTGTATCGCAAGCGTAGGTATATAATATTAATAAAAATATTAGCTTTAAGGTCATTCGCTGGTATAATATGTTCCGTTTCTTAGTTTCTATTAATTTTTTTTTACGTCACAATTTGAATGGCAACAAGATGACGTAACTAGTGATGAACTGCAGCTGCTAAATTGTAATAATAATTAATTGTATAATAAAGTCTTGGCGCGCGTGTATTATTAATATTTCTACCATATTTAGACATTATCTTATTTGCACATTATGTACTTGACACCTTCGCGACTAGTTGTGCAAAATCGTCAGCACACAATAATATCTAACATGGGAGCAGGCGTGTGAAACTAATAAATAATAATGTGGATGTCTATACGCCACCTTGTAGGTATTCGTATTCGATGAGAGGACGCGGTAAAAGGTTTATCGAACAAACAACATAATAATAATATAACGTATTATAGGTACTAAATAATAAATAACGTAATAKATATTTCRAATGTTATAGTATTGTGATCACAGCGTTATGAGCATAATGTCATATATATACGCAATGATCATAATATGGGCAGGGAGCCAGAGATATGCTACATACCTATTAAGTACGAGTTACTATAACGAAAAATGACCGACACCTATAGAATTAGCTGCAATAATCGAATTATACATTCAGACCATCAACTCTTCTTTCGAGTCGAATCATTTTTTCCTCTCGTCATGATTCTTGCTGGCCCGCGTGTACACGCATTTTATGTACGTCGAATTGTGAATATCCTGTGAATACATTATATAAACGTTATCACTCGTCTGCGCGCATTGAATATAAATCAATCGAGCGTAATATTATATGTGTCCATTTATACTTGTTTATTATCTGCTGCAAACACATTCACGTTATATTATACAATTTGTTAAGTAYCCTTGACGTTGTGCAGACAATCACAAACAACTAAAACTTGTGATGATAAAAATTTTGTGACGGGCCAAAACACTTAAAAATTTATAAAACGTCCCTAAAAATAGTAGTTCTTATTCAAACTTACAAATCTGAAAAAAATATAAAATTGGTTATTATTTGTTATTTAATCAAAGAATAATGCTTTATTTATTTTGCTATAATTTATGATACKCAATGGCATTTACAAAATACTTTAATCTATTTTAAGTCAATAAAGTTAAATTAATTACTGTGATTATTTAAAATGTAAATATATAATAAAATATACTTAATAATATAAGGCTGACAGGCTTTTTCCGCTCTGAATCGTTTTTCGTTTGCAATGATCATTATTATATTATCGGTGAATTCAAATTGAACACATTCATTACAATAACCTACTCAATGGTGTGGTACACTCCGAAACTCGACACCTACTGTACAAAAAAGTGGTTACCTATACTTGCCCGCTTTTTAAAAAATAATATAATATAATGATGATACTCGACTYTCTTCCCACTGTCGGTTTTAATGTAAAATTCTTACAAACACTTTCCATCGTGTTGTATTATTGTTGTATCAATTACACGTGAGTGCCATCTCCGTTATGTGCAAGTGAAACTCGTTCACGTGGGTACGCTGAGTGCAATACATAATATTATGATATGCATAATTAGGTTATTAGACCATTGTGGAAGTGCGTACACATAGAATCCGACTCTAAGCCCTCGCCGCATACGTGGGACGCCTGTAGTTTTGGTACCAGTATTCCTTTCCAGATATGGTAGCTTGCTGACCTTGTGGTCTACCATCACGGCGATCTTTCAGACACAAAACCTCTACTGCTTACTCTCGCTGACAAAAAATAATACATAATAGGTATAAGCGCACACGTGTGCGCGTGTGTGTGATAACGCATTTACAGCCGTTACGAGATTCTTGTATGGCGCATTCTTTGCAATTCCCAAACATAAAGCCAGATAATTATATGAATAGATGAACCGTTACTTTTCCTAAATTCTCAGCTGGATGATAATTTTTATATTTTTCCTCAGTTCAACTCACTAAATCCGAATGCATAATAAATTGTATTGACTATTGAGTAATAATTGCTGTTTGTGTAGATAATATATAAGATATACCTATACTATATTTGAATGAGTTGTGCGTGCTTATTACTTAAAGAATAATACCTCTAAATAAATTGTAATATATTGTTATATATATTACCTAAATGTTTATAATTTAATATGCATACCATTATTATTATATAGGTAAGTAAATATATTATACAGCTAAATTAATAACTGTCCTATTCAAATTTGACATTTTTTTCAGCACACTAGACCAATCTGTGGTCCACAGAACGTCTAATTAAACTCTAAAACCACATCACACCATAGATTGTTATAGAGTATAAATTTTGACAAAAAGTTATGATATGCTTAATAATATGCTGTTTAAATTAATGTATAAAAACCCACGTTCGTGAAGTTGGAACCTCCACTTTAAACTATTAGAGTTTGAACTATTGACTTCAATCAGTTAAATCCAGTGCCAATATTTTCCAACTGATTCGGAACATCAATTTTGAAATATACTGCAACTTCACCCATTCTTCAAAAAATCCGATTTCCAGATTTGAGTGCCATATCCACTACTAAAACTTTAAATATTTATAAAAAACCTTGTTTTTAATATTTTTTAAATTATATTTTAATAATGTGCGCCTTATTTTTTTTATTCGTTTTATTAAATTTTCCAGTTTTTTTACCCAACGATATTTATTGACCTTTATAGAGTAAAATGTCCGTAAACAACTCAAATAAAAACAACATGTTTCGAAAATATTATCTAGTTTAGAAAATGATAAAATAAACATTTGACGAAAACTTAAAGTGTCTACGGTTATTCGTTATTTAATTAGATACAACAAAATAAGAAAATCGTTCCATGAAAAATCGGGTGAACCTCCAAAGTTGTAAACATTTAATTTGAATTTCAAGTAAACATTTTTTTTTTTTAATAAAGATAGTCTTCCTTATAAAGAATATTGTAATAAATTTTCATATATTAGATATAAAAAAAATTTATATACATTTCTAACTCAAAATAATTTGCGAAATTTCTTTATTTTTACAAAATTGTTCGTAATAAAACATAAAATAGTAAAATATTTACTGCAAAATATGAATAAAATAAACATTTATTAATGAATTTAAATTACATAAATATAATTAGATACTTAAAAATAATTTAGTTATACATATACATAATATGTAACTAAAATAKCTATATATACTATTGGTTGTTGCCTATTGGCTTTATATTAGTAATTAAAGAGAAAAAATAGAGAAGAACATTTTGTACAAAATATAATTATATATAGGTATTTAATAATAGATACATTTAAACAAAATATATTTATAAACTCTATTGAGTTTTGGGGTAGATAAACAGTTTAAAAAAAAACATATTAAAAAATATATTTAGAATATTTTTAACCTTTGACTAATTTTGGTTTAAGAATATATTCATTTTACCCTCTAGTCCATTAGGTAACAAAAATTTGTTTTTCAAAATCTGTAACCCATAAATAAATAAGAGCAGATGAATGATACAATATATAATATTAGGTAATTGTACAATGTACCTATAAATTATGAATACTAATTACTAACCAAATGTATAATCAATTTAGCTTTTGACATTAATTCACTTCTTTCATAGACTTGGCTGACTATTGTTACTGAAATATGAACTACAGTATTATCAAAAAGACTTGAACATAACACTTTTGATCCCCGTATTCGAAAACTTTCTTCGTCATCTATATACATAACATCATAATATATAGGACATAGGTAATATCTAATTATAATGGTATACAATGCAATTATTAAAAAAAAAAAAAACAAAACTGGGAAACTCATCTGACTTATAGCTGTTTAACTGTATTAGTATTTCGATTACCTTATTATATACCACGTCATTGAGGTAGTTTATTAACTGTAGTTAAATGTATAAACATTAATTTACTTATTATTACTATTTATTATTTAACTATCATTAATTGTAAATCATTATTCAATACTCATTAGGTACACACGAAAAACTTTACTGAACGAAGAGTATTTACATTTCACAATATGGGATTATTTTATAATTAATTTAAATTAAGACGTTACTATTAATCATTTATTTTTTAAATTCGTGTTAACCTACAGTATGTTGAATTTAATATTTATTTTTTCCAAAATCATCATTAACATTGAAATATAATTATACTTAGGTTTATCTGTTATCATACCTAAATTGAACAGATAATTGTTACTAACTTAAATTAACTCAATGGGCATGACCCTTTTCAAAAATGAACCCCTTTCTTTTTGGTCAATTCACTTTTCAAAAAAACCAAAAAGTTAAATTTTTATTTTATTTATACATTTAGAGATGTATTAAACCCTATATAATTGTTGTCGATTATTGTTGATTACCTATAATGATATCGGTTTTTTTCAGGCGCTTTTGAAAACTACTAGGAATTTTAAATTTTKACCTCCCCAAAAGATTCACTTTTACACTGGAAAAACTACAGAAAATGAAAATGAAAGCATTATTTCGTCAACTTAGATTAACACAGATTACAGATACAAAAAATATATGTAAATAAAAAAAACACACATCATTGTAAAATTAATAGATTTAACACTCCACTCAAAATCTAAAATATATGTACCGACATTTATAACAAACTAAAAAAAAATTTTAATCTTCAATTGGCTTAAAATTTGTCGAAATATTTTTTAAATTCCACTGAGTAAAGAAATGGTAGTAAAATGTTTAAAATTAGTATTGTTTAAATAATTTCAGGATAAATCGTTAATATACGTTTAAATATCAAATGTCGTTAAAACTTGAACTTCATAGCCTTGTAAAAATATGAGTGTGGCTATTTAGAGTTTAAGGCGTTTAAGCTAGACATTTATTGTTACATTCCAGTGGAAAAAACTTATAATTTATGTTCTATTATATCTATATTTATATTTTAAACTAGGATTCACATTCTGTTTCAGTCACTGTTACTATTATATTTTTTTTTTTTAGCTATTTTAAACATATTTCGTTAGTACTTACTTAATAAAAAACTTGTAAACCAGAAATTTAAAAATTCTAAACATCTTTCACTAAAGGATTTCAAATTTACAAGTATAAAATTAAGCCAAGGATCTGTGGCGAACTCAATTTTAAGATATGATAAATCTTGAAAATGTTTCAAAAGTTTTGTTGACAATATTGTAGTTATGCATTCCCAGGCATGGTTCGATACACAATCCAATCCCTAAAAGTATTATTTAATGTTATTATCTAAATATTATAAGTATTTTAAAGACTTTAAGTATTGAGTTTTATATAAATTCTTACCTGAGATATAATGGTTTCTAATTGCATAAAAATAGATCTTAAAAAATCGGCAGTTGGTGCCTCATTAAACTCAACTGATTTACAAAATATACCTTCTTCAAAGTATTGTAAAATAATACTAAATAACGTCATAGATGATGTTACGCAATTTTGACATTGCCTAGTCATAGCATTTAAAACGTATTCACATTTTAACGTTATCAAATACTATAGGACAAACATAAATTCATTACTATGTGTATATAGTATATTTGTTAATTAAAGTGTATCTAGTATGTAGAAAAAATATAATTAATCATACTAAAAGTTTATTTTCCATATTAGTTTCTTCTTGTTCAAGTTGGCATAATTGTATTATAGTATTGATTGCAAGAAAACAAATTTTGTTATTTTTTGAGAGGCATAAGTTTTCAAGAACGTATAGAAAATCTTTATTCTTCTTAATTGTATTTAAAACTAAAATAAATTTATGATGGATATCAATTAATTAATTATATAAAGCTATATTACAAGTTATTATTGCTTGCGTTTGAATTACTTACCATCACTGTTGGATAACTGAATCAGGGTTAAGAGATGCTGGAGAAGAGATGATAACAGTGAATACTGTTCAGTGAAAGTAGATTGATGGCTTTTTATGATTGAAGACATTGTATAAACTATACTTCGATGTTCGTTAATGGAAATATTTGCCCCACGGAGAAAACACGGTTCAGTTAAATTCAATAATAACGTTAAATTTGTTGCTGCAGTATTAATACAAATCCAGTTAAAACAAAWAAAATAAAATAATAATAATTGCACAACAATATTATAATATTATAATATTGTTATATATATAATTATATATTTATATAATTATATAATTATAATATTATAATAACATACAGAACAATATTTGTATTACCTCCTACTCTTTTTGGATTTTTTGTACAGCAGAATGAACCTAAGTATATGGGTAACATATCCCAAATAATTAATAATGTTTTGTGTTCATTACATTCGTTTTCTGTTATTATTATTTTCTTAATAATATTGAATCCTATCTGTAGTTTATTATTATCGATATTTATATCGTTAATAAGTATATCCTATGGGCAATGAATGTGCAAATAAATGTTAGAGTAATTAATCATTTTTATTATTTTATAAAGAATTGGATATTRTTAATAATATATTTACCATCAAACATAACATTGCTTTATGGTTGTTTAAGCAAAWTTTTTCTAATTCAATCAAACTAATATCATCTGAATTCTGAATCCATTGTTTAATCTAATAGTAATAAAATAAACTAAACTTGAGAAACCTTAATAAAATCAAATTATTCTTACTAATTTTAATTGTATTTTTTTGGGTATTACACTTGTAGCGAATAAAAAATATAACAATGCAGGATGATGGGTAAATACCAAATCAATAATTTGCAGAGAATTTATAAGTTCAACTAATTTTTTCGTAGCAAAAGCTAAACCGGATATTGCATTTACTGCATGATGTGATACAAAACAAATCTAAAAATAAATATGCATTTTTAATAACATGTTGAGTGAAAAATTACATATTTAATGTTTACAGAAATATTAAAAAGAATTGCTTTGATAACAGGAACAGGAATTTCATTTTGCATTGAACATAAGTAATCGCACATTGGTTCTAAGTATATTGACTCATTTTCAATGCTAAAATCAATGCATKTATACAGATTAATTAGTACATATTTAATATTTATTATTTATATAACATATATTATATTATATTATAATATAAATATTCAATTTAACATTGAAGAAAATACATTTTATTTTGATCTGCATATTTGTCATCTGAACAATTATTGTAAACCTGCTAAAACTCACAATAAGTTGTTGCCTAACTAATATTTATATTTAATAATTGGCTTAAGTAAAGTATTGTAAATAAAAAGAACACACGACGAGGAAAGCCATTCATTGGTAGAACATTTAGGACAGAATTTGTGTATTTAATTATACTAGTGTCTAGTACTAGGTAGTGATTTTGACGGGCATGGAATCAACGCTATTGAGGTGATCTGGAGGGTTATTGGGAAAAGATATAAAAAGGATTAAAGAATTTTGAATTTTTTATCATTGGTTACATACTATAGGTTGCTAAAGAGTAAAGCTATAAGGCGAAGAGGGATCGATACGGCGTGGTTGAGATAGTTTGACGCACCCCTATATTTGCATACCGTAAACCTAAATAGGCCTCAGTAAAAATTTGAGTAGTGTAAATTTTGAATGAAATGATAGTTCGATTATTAATATAGAATGAAGATTGAAGGTGTAGAGTATTGTGCRTTTGGGCTTAGGACTTAAGGTGAGGATCCAAAGTATAATTCCCAAATATTTGACTCAAAATATAGTAAGTATCCTTGTGCAAATGGTAAATGCAAAGATTTTTTAAGGTTTGTTAGGATTTTTCACTTATATAGACATATAGTTTCCTGGTATTATTAAGATGAGATGTTTTGAAGATAGATAATTGAGGCATTGTGGCTTGCCCCTGGTCTTAAGTAGAGGTCTGCAGTATAGTGATGGTATCAACAGCATATATTGCTATAATTGTGTTTATTGTTTTAGGAATATTTGATATGTACACTATTTTTACAATAATAATGCATTTTTTCAGGGACTAGCTGAATACTTGAAAAAGACACTCGTTTGTTTATGAAAATCATTAAAAATGGTAAACATATATTTACCAATTTCTGATAAACACAGAATTCCATCACCTCTTAAGGGGTCACAACTATTCATAGCCAGTAAATAAACACGGTATTTTTTACGTCAATACAATTACGGAAAAACGAATTGTAACATTATAATCATAGTAAAAATGTGCTATGTTTTTAAATTGGTATAAAGGTTATAATTATAATATTGTATTATATGTCTACAAAACAAACTTACTTGGAACCAGTTAAAAGATAGAAATAAATAAAAATGATGATAGAATGTCTCATATCTATATTTGTGCTACTTGACAAAACAAAACACAGGTCTTTTGGAGTTTTAGGAAAATTCTTGAAGCTCCAAAGCATTTGATTGCGAAACATATCAATACTACCCGGCCAATAACATTTTATTTCAAGATAAGCTGACGATAAATAAAACAACAGTTCAAACAACAACTCTTCGGCTAAAATGCCAATTTCACTAAAAAAATAATAAACATTTAATGTAAGACAGGATAGTTACATATATAGTCCAAATAAATATTATACATTTAAATAATTATTACGTGTAACATTAAATAGTATCATAACATATATGGTATACAATTAAATCTCAATTTTTTGTCTTTTTCTAGTAAAATATCGATATATAAACGTAATTTTAGTTATGTATTAATATATAGATGAAAAAAAAACCAATTACTTATATTCAATTAATTCATATAAAATATTCATAATTCTTGACGCTGCATAATGACTAGCTATATTTTGACGGGCAGAAGTAGATATACTTTCTCTGAACGGACTTATTAAACTTTTGATTCCTTTTCGATAACTTTTATGATGTATATTTATATTCAAATTTTTCTATGTGAATATAAATTGATATTATAAAACTTATTTTATTGAAATAATATTATTCCATCAATACATTAGCGTAGGTATTGATTTTACAAAATAATCAGTAATATTTACTTACTAGAACAAATGGTAAGCTAATATATTTTATCATAAACCAAGCCACATTCTTCAGTAACTTGGCTACTTCTGTATGTTTTTTTAAATTGTTATTAATTGACATTCTCTTTGTTATAGTAGAATAAAGTCTATTTAATCAGAATACATATATGTATATATTATATATTATATATATTTTCAAATTACAAATCAAAATATATTCAATTCAGAGGCGTTACTATAATAGATTAAATGATTAATAAATAAATATATTATACAGAATGATTCACCAAGMACGTCACATAAAACACCTTAAATGGCGTAACAAAATTTAAGTAATTGAAATTATGATTTTTAAGTACACTTATTTAAAAATTTCAAAAATCAGAATACTTAGATAGGCAATGTAGTCATAATTGAAGAGAAAATGGTGATACGAGTGCTTGGTGAATTAGGTACTCTGTAGAGTCCGTTCGRTTTTTATTCGTCAGTATACTTGTTTAATAGCAATAGTTATCTTGTAACATACCTAATAAAATGTAAGTATACTTACATTTCCTATATCCTATAGGAAGAAATTATTAGTATATATGTATGAGTATAACTATCGACAAAAATATACCTAACCTAACCTCGACATAAATATTTTAGGATTCATAACATAATATTATATCCATTATTATAAGTTATAGCCATTGACCATCATACCACCATAGTTTACACCACAGATTAATTAAAATTAAGTCATAAGTATACCTTAATAAACCACTAGACAGATTTGATGCGATGTCAACTACATGGGGGTCAATGATACATTTTCCTGTGACACTTTTACAGATTGCCTTTGAAATAGACATACTCGTGTTGTATAATTTATTACTTAATTCAATTGAAGGACACGACAAAAAATACGTTAGTATAGAAATAGCATTAATAACACAACGTGCTGGTAAATGTTGTGAATTAGTAAAAACCATTTTTATAATGGTTAAAACTTGTGATATGTTGCAGATTTCTTGAAGGTTTGTTCCTCCCCTAAAATCAAGTACAATAATACTCAGTAGTATAGTTATTAATATTATATTATATATTTGTATTGTGTTTAATACAATCGTGTAGTTGTAAAATTATTAAATACTTTTTAATAATTATTGCTAATAATTGAATTATATCAGATACTGAACCATCACTAGTTCTTATTAAAAATACAAGTGTTCGCAATAAACTATTACAAGTGTATAACACGTCATTTCTTTCATAAAATATATTATTTTTTGACAACATCCATATGCATAAACATATACTTCTAAAAGATAATTTTTAAAAATTAGTAAATTTATATAACTAATATAATACTATTTTGTACATTAATATATAAAAAAAATATGTCAAGCAAAATTTTTTACTGTATTAACGGAGTATTAACTGAAAGTAAAGGTTCACACAAAAATTGAATCATATCAGCATTCAGATATGTTCTACTGACTAAATTGAATAGTTTTGGATCTTTTAAACTTCGAATCATAAACTGAATAGATTTATCCTATAGAAATAAAAAATTAGTAAATTATGATCGTGATTCGTGRTATTACTTATATTTCCTTAAAAATTTAATATTTTGTGATTTATGATCGTCCCACTTATGTGCATGAAAGTTTGATTGGACCGCCACTATAGAAATTAATTTATTGATGTATTGTGTTATTAATCTAATAATTCGTTGGTTTTCTTGAAAATATACTTAATTATTAGTCTTATAATAGGTATTTACCAAATAACATGGGTTGTAAAGACCAATAGTCAAACCAATACTGCAGCAATACATCAAATGATTAGGCACCTAACGCAATAATAACTAATCAAACACTTTGCACCCAAGGGGGAAACCCAGCTCCATCATAAATTTAAATTTGTTTGCATAATAATGATTATACAAATTAATTGACATTTATATATTACCAATAGAATATACCTAATTTAAGGAAAAATATTATCAATAATCATATTTATAATTTTTGGATACATTTAATAAACATATAATAAATTATTAACACTTATATTTATCAGGTACCTATTATATTATTAAATATTATCGATTATTATAGATGACAAGAGATCAGAAAACAGAGTGATGGTGGGATGATAAAATTTTCAATCATCCGTATGGAGCATTAAACCATTTTGTTGAAAAACTAAAAYTAAAAATTCGAAATTGGTTTATTTATGGTTAATATTAGTTAAAAAGAAAAAACAGTTGTTATTATTTAATTTGGTTGTTTCAAGAAAGTCCTTTTTCAAAAATGTTATTTCATTTGTTTATAATTCTTTCCTAAACATTAGATTATACAATCTCAAATTTGCAGCGMGAGTGAATCACTCGTAGTCTTAACCTACTTATTATAAATAATATCGCTCGCCGTAATCAATTTATAAATGTGAAATAAAATATTGAATTTTATATTCATTGCAACATTATAATGAAAATGTTGATTATATTCGTCTAAAATTATTTCAAGACTATAAATTATTCATGTAAATTGTAAATTTTAATTCAACACATCCGTTTTCGCGTTACTTACATAATATTATTATAGGTACAAGAACAAGAGTCCTTTTTTTTTGGCCCGGGTTAATCACCGAAACTATTGAATCGATTTACATGAGGAATATTGTTTATAATGTTTTAAAGAAGGACATATTATTATAGGCTATACATATGCGACCGACCAAACTCCTTACCAAAAACATTGGCGATGGCCTATGGCTACGATAGCACAATATAAGAATGCTTTAGTGGACGTGCGAAGAAACTAGGGACTAGGGAGGATAGAATAATAAATTAATTCAGTATCTAGTCGATAGGAGTGGCACCAAATACAGTAGACAAAACGAGGGAGAATAGATTGAGATGTTTTGGTCATGTCATGTGATCTCGTCGAGGCGACTCGAAGGCAGTGAAAGTGGCAATGGAAATTGATGCAGAGGGAAAAAGAGGGAGAGCTATACCGAAGAAGAAATAGATAGAATATTATAGAGAATGACACGAAATTAGCTGGTGTTAGAAATGAAGAGGTAGAGGGGGAGAGTTTTATGGCGGCGTAAGACAAGGATGACTGACCCCATAATATAGTTGAAAGCAAAGAGCGAAGGAGAGATGATTCGTATTTATAAAAAATGTAAAATACTATAGCTTGTACAAATTGGGTTACAGGGAACGAAATTGCAGATTAACCAATACTAGTCCAATAGTAACATAAAAAACATCTTTGAAATAGTATCCAAAAGTATTTTATGTCATTTATTATAAGTTATAGCCTCCCACTMTATATCTATATTTTATGCGTATCTAAATGTAYATAATATATACTTACCTGAAAGACGATATTTCGTGACAGCAACATTTTTTTCAATTTGATCGTAATTGCGTCCATTTTTTTTTATTATTTGTTATAWATAATATATTTATTGTCGGAAAGGTATTTTCGAGGACACGGTATTGTGCGACAGTTTAACTGTAGTAGAATATCACAATACGTCTTAATAATACCTTTATTGAAATCTATTTATAATTATAACGTAGACATGGTGGATGGAATGATTTCGAAAAAGAAAAAAGGCTCTAGCGTCTAGCAGAATAGACAAAGAAAGAAAATGGCCAAACTTTGGCGCGTAATAATATTTTACCGACTTAAGTATACCGCAACTACAACTTACTGCTAAACTATCAGAATTATATTTTTATCCCTGGTTTTCTTCATGGAATATCAGGTTTTATTTTACTTCACATGAACGGTAGTTAGTTTTTCCTCCATGTGCTAGCGCGCGGTCCGCACAATATCAGTTGTTACCCCTTATCAAACGTGCAATTTTTCTTTTCAATGTCGTCCGCAACGTTCACGGTCCGTTTTTCTTTATTTTTTTACCGAAGCAAATGTTTTGTTAAATGCATTGTTCAATAAACAATTAAACACACGATCCCGCTGATAAAAGACGACCGTAGTGCGTAACAGTACTAAAATTAAATGCAGAGTGTACAAGACGTGGTTATCGATTTGATTTTGACGCAGTTCGCTGACAACACAAATGATAGAGTTTCATAAACCTCGAGCTTAAATTCGGTTGATGGGACATTTGAACGAGCACCAAGTGTTCAAAAAATGTTATCATACGAGTAAGTTAAAATTGTGGTTCTAAGTTGAATTTTTTTTTAATTATACAGGCTCACTAAATAAATAAATGACTTAGGCATCATACAGTGTTATTATGATAGTTAAAAATTTACTGGATGTATTTGCTCTGAATGTAGAATAATCAATCAAGAAGATACTGCCATAATAAGAGAAGTCTACGACAATGATAACTCGCAAGAAATGTTTGAGCAGGAACTGGACAATGCCCTAGAGGCTGGCTACAAGTATATTATTATCGAGCCAACTCAGCTGGCTGATGAAACTGTGAGATGGATTACTGTTGGCAATTTTCTTTCCCAAACGGCTATCATATCTAGTGCATTGTCTGCAGGAACAGGTTTGGAAATTTTGAATTTTATAAATTAAGTAATAGTTTGCTAAAATAAATCAACTATTCAAACTATTGTCTAATACCTATAGATTCATACATCTTTAAATGTAGAATTAAGAAACAATAATTTATCAAAAATCAATTTGTGTTATCATAATTAAAACTAATTCATCAATAGCATGTGCAATTAAGAAATCAATTGTCCGTTAATAATATTTATATATTTACATATAAGTAAATAACACAGGGTTAAAGAATAAATTATCAAAGTTAGATGTTGCTTTACAGTTGCATTTGTTATCAATAATCATCAATGTCAAAAAATAAATACAATTCAATTACAAATTATTTTTTACATTGCTTGATAAATATACATATAATTTTTAATACCATATAGTTTCATGTGCAATATACATATTATTTATTATTACTTCTTTGTTTTTTTCACTTGATTAGCTTATTTTTGGACTTCAAAGCCGTTTRTATATGGCCCTTTGTGTATGGCTTCATTTGTCTGCACTGGACTGTACATGATTTCGTGGCAGTTTGATCCATGCTGCAAGTATCAGGTGCACAAGGATCCAAGATTGAAATCGCTCCAAAAAGAAGACAACACTCCATCATTGCCAGTGGTTATAGAACGTGGTAGCGATACCAAGAGGAAAATTTTACACACATCATTAACAGTTGTATCAACTGCATATTGTATTTGGAAGCTGTACGAATATTGCAAATAATCTTTCAAATAGAGATCAAATTTTTATGGGAACGTGATGGTTCAAGAACAGTCAGCACATTTTAAAATTATATTTTATATATGTACACTTGATTTTATTTAATTTACCTACCAACTTATGATTGTATGTACTTGATAATTCACGCCAGTGACTTGACTAAGAGGTTTTCTTCTCAGGTGTAGAGTATATAAGCATGTTAATCATATATTCTATATAAATTTCATCTTTTAATGAATTAATGAATATTCAATTTTTATTGATAATATTCATTATTTGCTGAAAAAATTATTGGCTTTACTTTGCGGGAACATATTAAAGAACTTAAAAAGTAATTTAATAAAAAAAGTTTAAATACCTATTTCCATCTTCAGAAAGTTAAGTTTTAAAATAAATACAATTATTTATAGGTTATAGAAATGTTGTAATGACAATTATTAAGTCATATTATTTATTTTATATAAGATAATAATAGTGACATTTGACAAAGTAAATTTTCTATTTTCCTGATATTTAAACTAATCTAAATTTTAATAATTGAGCCAAGTTATATTTTTAGAATTCTCACTATAAATTTTAATTATTACTTAAATCATTAAATTGTTTATTAATTAAAAAATAATTTAAACTCAACATTATTTTTCACAATTAAAATTTATTATTATAAATAATAAGTTTTATAGCTAAAATCTTTATATTTGTGGAAATAACTTCTTTATACACTTGATGTTTATGGACGAGTGAACGGATATATCTCAGGCATCTAAATAGGTGTAAAATGATTTAGCACACAGATTTGGACAAGTAAAATATTGTCTATACTTCAAAAATTACTTACAATATTATATCATGCTAAAATTTGCCATTAAAATAAAAACAAAACAGTAATGTTTTATATTCGTGATAAACTGATTATTTATTTTTATTGTTAATTAATGCGATAGTAATATTATATATATTTTTTTTTTTTGTTCAAAAGCTCTTATTTATTCTTTTTTTTTTAAAAAAAACATGAATTATTGAATATGTAATAGTTAAACATTCAGAAGGGCAAAAATGATTTTATTTGATTGCAATATATTTTGAATTAAAAATACTTGTATTTTATAAAAGAAAACTAGGTTTCATTTTAAAGGCAACAAATAAATCTCAATTTCCATCTAATATAAGATTGTTCTAAAGGTTCAACTAATATCTAAAAACTACCTATAATCGTTCTATGATTTAGGGTGAACGTAGCATGCCAAAGTATAAACAGAGCATAATATTTTTAAAAATCTATTGAAGTTAGGTTATATTTTTATGAATATAACACTATATACCTAAATATTACTTCCTTGTGAAAGTAGATTCACAATATTATATTGCTACGTAATATATAAATTTATAATTGTTCAAAATTACGAATTCCATTGTCTGTTATCTTATTTACAGACATATTAAACCATTTATGAATAGACTGAAAAAATATCACAAAATAAATTTCTTAACATTTTACAATCTACATAAAATATTGTATGTGATTTATTGCTGTAAGACCATAATGTTAAGAAAACAAAAACAATATTGAAAATTATATATCATAATAAATTGCATTCTATATTAAATTAAATTTAGTGTTTTGTATAGCTTTCATTTAAACATAAACTTTTTCTATAACAACGAATGTTTGATGTTAAGAACAATGGACGATTTAGAGTTACAAGTATATGTGCTTGATATTTTCAAAATAAGCAACATGGACAATGGTAAAACATAATAAATTAACCTACATTTATACACATAATATATAATTTGTTTTATTCTATCTGAAAGTTGTTTGTCAATTAGTATTTTTAAAACATTAAAACTAAACAAGAATTAAATTCTTAGGGTCTATTTTGTAAGATATGTTAAGCGTAATAATTACATATGGGAATGTACACTAGTTTACTTTGTAGGTTTCAATAATTTGTTTACCATTATAATGTATCTACATTTTTAAAGGCTACAAAATATACTTAAAAAAAAAAAACAACAATAAACATCTAAATTTATCCTCGTAAAGTATGCACACATTGAGTTATCGTCTACAATGGTATAGTTTCTTAATCATTTAAAATTATAGTCTAATATTAACTGACTAATGAAACGTTATTCTAAAAATAACTAAAAATAATTAACAGTACATAAGGTTTAACTATATCAACAACTCACTATTAAGTATACATAAATAATTGACAGAAATCAGAAGAACTACTTATAATATATTTATGAGCTGTATGAGATTTCTAAAATGTAATTGTCGATACGCTGTTGTCATTCAAATTTATATATAAATTATTAGTGATTGATTAAATAGAAAACAAAACGTGGAAATAGTTTATATAAATATTGTCAAAAATGTAATAAAAAAGAACACAAAATGTGTAACAAACAAGCACCATTTTAAGCAACAAAAATGTATCAACAATTRAAAAATTAATTTTATGAAAAAAGGAGATCATTTAAATTATAATATAATTAAACTTATTTTTTGCAATATATTTTTTGGGGGAAAAATGGTGGTAATTAATAAACTCTATATCTTAAACAATATTTAAAATTTAAATTTATGTAAACCTAAGATGTAATAGTGTTTAAGACATACAATAATAATATAATAGTAAAAAATTCATACTACATTAGTGGTAGCAGTGATCATGATCAGTGGTGACGTGAAATTTATTTAAGTATGAAGCATATTTATATTTTAATTTTTTGATCAAGGGTACCAAATCCTATTTATAAATGTATGTACCTTTTTTTACTAATTTAAGAGTGATTCGTTAGCATGTTTTCTCTGTCTTATAAGAGTGTAACAGMACATTCTCTTTACGTTTTAGTATTAAGAATGAATTTACCCGTTACCTAACTTAAAACCTATAATTAACAACATTTTCAGTGGTTTTACATAATTATTTTCAGATATTTTTCATTTTGCAGCGAGCTATAAGTATGTAAAATATACATTTTAAAAATTTTGTTCATTAGTAACTTCAAAATTAAAATAACAAAAATATACTTCTACCAAACCACAGAATATATATTGTAACCTTCAGACTTCAAGTTTAACAAAAGGTAAATTTACTTTAATATTGAAATTAACATAGTTAAATAAGTTAAGCACTTATTAGACGCTGACAACACATGTAAATGAGACATCCTSTTTATTAATTAGAGAAAATTAACCATCACCTACCCACTGAAATGTGGTTCCTCCTTTCTCATACCCATTTATCAGCTCTTTTTTATATCAATACAGCTGATATTTCATGAAAAATTACCTCACGTCACCACTGACTATAAGTTATCAATTTTCTATCTTTGTTAGTGATGCACAGTAAATATTTAATAGACCAATGGTGTTTAACCCTATCTTAATTTAAATTAAAAGCTCATCATTATCATTCTTTTTTTAAGCTTATTATAATTAGTTTGTGAATAATACATAACATCTAATTAATAAAATTACTTAAAAAATTATTTTCAATCACAAGCAATAGTACAAGAAATATATAAATTATGAATWAAAGTACTTCACAACACCCAATGCAAGATATTAAATGCAGAAACAAAAATATTTTAGATAATAACYAATATTAATTAAAAATGTCTTATTAATATTATTGGCAGATAAATTATATACTGCAATTTAATGAGATATAATTATATAAACAATGATTTTGATAGAAAAATGAGTACACATTTAATAAATATTAAAAAGTAATTAAAATAATTTGATTTAAATGTCGATAAAGAAATATAATATGAAATTTAACTAAATTGTACTTCAATTAGTTATAATATTATATTTAAATGTGCAATAAAATAAATCAATCTGTGAATTTTATTTAATAGAAATTCATTATATTTAAATTTAGATATTAGTTTTATTAATTAWTACTTCAAGCTTGCTTTTTAAGTAATACCAACTATCTAATATTCTGATAATTTAAAAGGGAACCAGATTAATGTAAGTATTTATAAAATACTTGTACTATTAATATTGATCAAATTAATTTACAAATTATGGTACTAATTTGTTTCAACGAGGGCAGTTTTGTACAAATATACTTAGCTAAATAATATCATTATGGTATTACATTGCTAAAAAGTAAACATTGTACAAATGTAAAGTACATAAATTAAATAAATAATTTATGTAAAACCGTGCATCACTAACAACTAGGTATTTATATTCAAAAATACAAAATTATAAGTACTCAAAAAATAACAATTAACAGCTAATTTCTAGAAATCTAGTTGACTGACCTGGCTGTTTGTCAAATGTGAGATTCCCGTATGCCGACGATAACGGGCTGTAGCCGACGCTCGTCCGTCTGATGGCGGGGAATCCTTGAATCCTACATTTTCTGACTAGCTTGTCGGTCAGCCCTACATTTCATAATCCAAAAATAAAATCGCGGCCAAACATAACGTAGGCCAATTGCTAAACGAGCGTAAAATGGTGCAATAATGACTTCTTGTTCATCATTAACAACAGCATCCACTATTCGTTGAGCAACATATTCAGCAGAATATCCAGATAACGTAGATTCATCCATGACTGCAACATATATATTTAATGTTTGTATACTACTAACATTTTTTATCAAATAATAATATCTAATAACAATACTCACCACCATATTTTGATCCAGACCCAGTTAATGCATTCAATGACAAATTTGTTTGTATGTACCCCGGACTTACAACGGTTACTTTAACCTTATGATGTGATATTTCAGCTCTGAGAGTATCAAAAAATGCTTGTAATGCATGTTTAGATGCTGTATACGCTGATCTAAAAATATTATATAAATAGGTTCATAAAATTAATAAAAAATTTGCATACAAAAAAAAAGATAAGCTGTTTCCAGCACATCCAAGGTTTGTTATCTGTATTTCTTAGATATAAAAGCATACCAAAAATAAGTTTAAAAAGATTTGTAATAATCGGTTAGAAAGTGCTTTTTTCAAAAATGTTAAACATATAACTTTTTAAATAAAATAATTATTTAGGTACAAATTATTATTTTAAACTGAATACATGGATTATGTAAAACAAAGTATCTAAATGTAAGTAAACTAATCTCAAATACTACAAAATATATGGATATATACAGTGGTGTGCAGATCCCTTTTTCCATGTGGGGCAAAGTTAATTTTTTTACACCCACCGGCCACCACTCACCCAAAACTAAAAGTTACAAATAA